TCATATAAACTCCATGATATCACAAAAAATATTAAAAAACAAGATCGTCTACATCATACTGGTGAGCACGATAATAATACTTAAAAAAATAAGTGAAACTATATTGAAACTTCGCAGATGTTAATTTCATGAATGCAACTACTTCATTTTTTATATAATAAATCTGAAGATATTTATGACCATATTTGATTTAGAATCAATTATAATATGCTCATGAAGGGAAATCAATGATTTTTCAGTAAGATTGTCAATATTTAATTACATAATTCGACTTTATCTTATATTGCGATATTATAATATTTTTTCAATTGAAATTCGTAATCTATGTGCATATTCCTGATGATACTTTTTCAATACTTAGAAACATTATCTTATCATTTTCTACTCGCTCATTATAAACAAAAAATTATCAAAGAAATATGTCAATATCATGCCAGGATCTTCAAAAACATCATGAAATCCCTTATTGTATGTGAGGACAAACGATCTTTAAACATTATCAAGTTTATTATATAGTTTTAAATTACTAACTATATTTGTATGTTTCACGTGATACATGTAAAAATTTATTAAATACTGTTCCGAAATTCAAAAGATCTAATGAAAGTATCTTTAAATCAATAGTTCTTAATTAATACAATGTATATATACAATACTTTAACGTTATTGCTTTTATTTCGTTTAATGGAAAATTATTCTTTTTAATTTAATATACTATAATGAAGGAGAATCTGTGTCAGAGTAAAAATAATTTAGTGATTTTATTAGTATGAACTGGATTTCTGGGCCTTTGAGCGATAAAAAAATTTTCTTTTTTCAAAATAATCTCCTTTTAGGCGATTCGTGTAATGCTAGTGAACCTTGTGTTTGAGATTTTAAAAATGGTTATATTTATGGTTGTGAAAAATGATTTCGTATCAAAATAATAATAATAGCACATTTTAGGATTTTTCATTCTTCAGATAGGAATTAAGTTTCTTTGAGAGCTCTTAGAATTTCTTTAAGGGGCCCTAGAAAATGAGAATAACTGCAAATATCAAAAGTGATTTACATGCGAAATTATGGAGTTTTCAGGCGAAATTATATTTAAAGTTTTGACTTTGCCAAAATTTGGTTAGGGTTGGGTTTTGCTAATGATAATATCTATTGGATAACGTAAATCATGAGAAGTTATTAGACAATTCTTATTTTTTCGTAATATCTTTACAGAAACTTGGTTTTCTTAATACGCAGTAACTGCAAAGTGATTAAATAATAATTATATGGTTACTACCTTACTTAGTAATAGCTTAATCGCGGCCTAATAGATACTATGCAGTTACCGAATAGTAAGGAAACAAAGTTTCTGTAAAATAACTATTTCAAATTTTTTAACATTTAAAGAGTATTTACTAAAACTAGTGAATAATGTGCATTTTTTAGAAAATTACAATTATCTTTTAGGAAGTAATATAATAGTTGCACAATACTTTTATGGTGATAAAGTTAGTGAACACTTTTTTTTTGAAAAAATATATAAATTATTTTTCATCTGCGCAATTTTTTTCTTTTTTTTAAACTACAAAGCAAATCAATCAAAGTATATTTTAACTATATTTCTAGTTTTGATCTTAATTTTAATTCATCGCAATGTTTAACGATAGTATAACGTGTGTTTTCTTAAGAGAATTCTTAATCAAATTCAACGTCAATTAATTAATTCTTCAATCCCATAACCGCAATTTCGTCCCTAAATAAAAAAAAATAGAAAATATTAGTGTATTATAAAATTATAATAGAAGTTAAGAAAGGAAAAATTAGCAGAATTGATGACTTACTGGACACATCTTTGCACTGCCTCCAAATTGGAATAATAAAAATTGTCTTGACCATTGATAATCATTTAAAATTTCTTCTTGAGTATTCATCTGACAAATAATATCTACCACTAGAAAACTTCATTCATTACTACATCATATCTTAAAAGAGTATTTTTGCTTAGGTACTGATATAACAAATTGCCCCTCATTTGCAATTTTCTCAGCAATACTATCGGTGTTAGGACCTTAATACGGTAGAATCTTTTTCTTTGGAGACTTATTATTGTTCACTAATGCATAAATTTTTTAATAGTCGTAATACGAAATGATATCAGTAATAAATTTAAGCATTGTTACAAATCTAATTCAATACTATCATTTCCATCCAATATCCTTTCACTTCTTTGGTGACATAATAGATCGTTTAAAAATTTACGTAGTATGTCCACGTATCATAATATCTATTATATAATGATAATAATCTCTTTGATGTATTATTAAATTGGTTTAATCCATCTATCATTTAGTGGTATGCGTAAAATGAAATTACATTTTGTAAAAATTTTTCTAATTAATCTGCTTTGCCTAATCCGATATCCAATTTAGAAATTCCAAATTTGTCATATTTTTTTTTGACATTTCGGAGAATGCTGACTTGTTTCTGGGATATTGATCGTTCCTATGGAAATAATTCATACAATTTTATTCCATCGCAATATGTTGGATAATGCAAAAGATTTCTGTCCACCATAAAAGTTAAAAAGATTCATCTATTTCATTTACAAATTACGAAAAATTCACGAGACGTGAATTTCAATGTTCAATGTATTAAATAAAAAAATTAATAGCTATCATTAATTTGTTTCTGATTAAATAAAAAAAATTCCTTTTTTATTGAAAATAATGAATTCCTTTAAATATAAAATTTTCTTACTCTAAATTATAAACAATGATATATATATATCCAGTGCGTAACTCAGCCTCTGAAAGAAAATTTCTTTACAATAATATAAACAATAATAACGGGCAAAATTAGATGGATACGGACTGAAGCGATTGAACTGAATGAAAATTAAAGCAAATTTAAAGTATAGAAATTAAACAAACGCATGCAGCAGAAGAAAATATTGTTTATAAAAAAATTAGAAAATTAACACTATATACAGTTAATGCCATATAGATGTTGGTGTCAGGTGATTCTACTTTATTTAGTGGAAGCTATGGCCATTCCCAGAAAGGAAGGAATAGGTATAAATTTGGTTAGCTTCATGCAAGAACTATGGGGGCCATTTTATTTATATTGATATCAATATCAATATCAATATTAATAGGAACAATGGTTGTTTATATATGATTTTTTTAAAAAAAAATTGGAACTGAATGATTACGATTACTAATTTAAAATAAATGAAAGAATTTATCGAAAACATATACTGCGGTAACAAAATCCTATTTCATCTGATAATTTCAGCCAAAGGATGATTTAATCTCGATTCAACCTAAAATTGCCTAAATCAAATAAATAAGATAAAATAAATAAAATTAGTAATCAAATTAATTGCCAAAATAAGAAAAGAAAATAAAACAATAAATCAAAAAAATTTAGTCAGCTCACCTTAACTGTGATAACGAGCTGGTTGGTTCCGTTTGAAGATTCCATCTGATTCTTAGCCAACTGATCGAACCTAAAAAAAGCAAAATAATTACCAAAATAAGGAAAAGAAAAAAAAATTATATCAAAAAAAATTAGTCAGCTTACCTTCGCTGTGGTGACAAGACAGTTAATTCTATTTTAACAGTTTCATCTAATTCTTAGCTCAAGCGGAGGAACCGATCGATCCTAAAATAAAAATAAATAAAATAAATAAAAAGATTATTAAAATAAAAAAAATCAATATTAAAAAAAGAAACTCATCAGCTTACCTTTATCATGGTGACGAGTCGGTCAGTTCCATTTTTGACAGTTCCATCCAGTTTTTAGCCAACTGATTGAACCTAATAAAATTTTTAATAATTTAGTAATAAAATAAAATATATAAATCAGGTCATTATTGATTCATAAATTTTTCATTTTCATTCTTTTTTTATAATAAATAAAAAAATTGATTGCAAAAATCTCTATTATTATATACGTTCTTGTCAAATCCGATGAAAGTATCAGTAATGATACCTTACAAAAGGTACTGCAATCTCTCGAATTGATGATGATGAAGCATTTCAAATATACAAATACTATAATTATTTAACCTTGCAAAATGATTCTGATTCTAACCTGAACTATAGTTTTGAAGTAACATTATTTAAAGAAGAAAATATGTACTTAATATTGGGAAATTTTCAATCATACAGGATAGTTCAATTAATATTACCATCATAATAAGTATGCATATCCCTCTTGATAAAGAATGTATTCCTGTAATGAAACCAACTATGCATCTTCTTGAAAGAACTATGAATTATGTACAATTATCAGAAACTGGTTATAATTTACAGATTCAAGTAAAACCATATTTATTGAAAGAACAGTTTACACCATTTTTGGTAAATTTAACTCATCCTCCAGATGAAAGATTTGAAAATGCCTTAACAAAAGCAAAGAAAAATTCTATAATTCATGTAATAGGAGTACTTTTTGTTATAGAAAAATAACCATATTGTGAAATATTAGAATTCCAATTTATAGCTTCAAAAATGAAAATAGATAATTCTATAACATTTTCATGAAAAAAACAGCTTCTCAAGTAACAACAAGTTCTTCTTTACCCAAATCTGCTATTGAAAAAAAGGATTAATCTTATATAACAAAATATGGCAACTCAACCACCAACAGCAACTAATTCATCAGTACTAAATTACAGAAATAAACACAAGGCATTCATAATAAAAATTTTAGATATCTCAAAATCTTTATTATCACAATATCATCAAATAGTTGAAAATAATAATGAACAAGTAAAAATTGATAATAATAATAAAATTATTGATAATTATGAAGAAAACATTAAAAATGATATATATGATAACAATAATGATGAAAACAATGATAATGATGATAATACATCAGCAAAAATTTTAAGTGCAAAAAGAAAATCAAAAAGAAGAAAATCAAATAAATAGTATAAAATAATAAATTAAATGTTTTATTTAGTTTAA